TAGTTTTCTTGTTTGGTTTAGGGGTCTGTGTAGGTGTACAGGTTATGGTGTGCGTGATAGGGTGTAGTACAATTCACGGGGTCTGGCAGTAGGTGGGGTAATTATAGTTTTGAATTTTAGTGGCATATTTCCTTTGCTTTGTAGTTCCCGCGTTATGTTTTTGTCTTCTTCTGTCATGCCGATCTACTCCAGAGCTCGGTAAAGGTCAGTATTGGGATGGGTTGCAGTCTAATTAGTCATTTTGAAAGAAGTGGGTTTTTGTCCTGGTTTTAGATGCCAATCTTCATGGGGATGCTTCACGAGTTTTTGTTTTTTTGTGTGTTTTTCTTTGCGGGGTGTTGCTTTGTCGTTTTATTTTTTGTTGTCGTATTTGTTTCCTTTTCTTCGTTATCGTGTCTATGTATGTGCTCGGGTTTCTATTTTTATTCATGTCCCTTAGTTTAACTTGGAAAAAACGTTTGCCTCATGTAGCGTCGTCGGCTGGGTGGTATTATCTTCGTCAGGGATTTGCACTTGCGGGTGGTCGTATCGATGTATGAGTGGGGGTGTGTGTGTATTAGGTTCTTATATGTAGGTCAGTGTTCAATGTTTTAATGTGTTTTTCTGGGTAGCACCCCGTACGTGTACGAACCCAAAATCGCGCGCACGCGTACGTAAAAAAAATAATAATAATAATAAAAAAATAAAATCCAAAGAATCTGAAAACAAAGTATTTTGTGCAGAATAATAATACAAACAACATTTTTCTGGGAGTTATACCCGAATTCCAAATCAAGCTCGATTTAAAAATGAAAAACCTGAACAAATAAAAAAAATATTTTTAAATAGTTTCTTAATTATTATGATAATATGACCTTTTTTTTAGTTTTTAATTTCTTACTCGAGTTTGGTTGGGAATTCGGGGATGACTCCCCGACAAAAGTTTTTTGTATCATGTTTCTGCATAACATATATTTGTTATAGAAGTTTGTTTTTAATTTTATGTGTTTTTTTCCTAGTTTTTTTTTAATTAGTTAAATTTATTTGTTTTTTGTGTCTTTTATTTTTAACTCGAGTTTGCTACAAAATTTCGAGATGAGTCTCTGGGAAACGTTGTTTGAAATATCATTTAGCATAACATATGTTTTTTTCAGATTTGTTCGATGATTTTTTTTTTCTTTTTTTTACGTATTCCAACGTACAGGATTACGTGTACGCGCGTACATGTCGCATACAGGAATACGTGTACGCGTGTACGCGCAACCCGCGTACACGTACGCCGAGCTACCCGAATGATTTTTTTTAAGGGGGTGTTTAGTAAAATTGACGATGGGTGGTAATGTTGTATTATTCGTCGGTTCTAATTGGTTTTTCTCAGCGTAAACCACGACGCATTTTTTGTCCAGTATGCTATTTTACGTGTAAGTGTACTTAGTGGTGTGTTATGCATTTTTGAGGGTTCAGAGGTGTTTTTTGTAGGGTACAGCTGGTAGCACTGTTGCTTCGTTACTAGTCAATTGCCATCTGTAATTTATTTGTTTTTGTGCAGTATATTTACGTAATTGGTTTATCAATATATAGTTCCCATTACCCTATTGCTTTGAAAAAAACATTTTTGTACTTTTTATTTTTTATTTTTATTTTTATAAAATATTTAATTAATTATTAATTTTATCTATTATTTGATTTATTTTTTTACTTGAATTTTTTTTGAAATTTTTAGTTTTATTTTATTATTTCATTATTTAATTACTTTATGACTTTATAATTTTATGATTATGTTATTATTTTATTATTAGTTTATTATTATTTTATTTTATTTTTTGTTTTTTATTTTTTATTTTATTATTTATTTATTTATTATTATTTATTATTATTTTTTTTTTTATATGTTATATTTTATCTTATTAAAAAATTAAAATCAAAATCTATTATTATTATCATTATTATTTTTAATTATTATTTATTATAATTTTAATCATTATTATTAATGATTAATTACTACGCTACCAGAGTGGCCCGGGACCACTTGCCGGACCGGGCCAAAAATGATTAAAATAAATAAAAATCAAAATTTATTTTTTAATTTTAATTTTTATTTTTAAATTGGTAAAGATTTCTCACGTAAATCGGCGCGTAAGTATCTGAGACGGCTGATTTCTCGTCAAATTCGAGTGAACTTTGGATTGAGTCTTGCAGCGGACTTAACTTTTAGAATACAGTATGGCGATAGGATTCGCATTAACGAAGTCCGGAAAGTAACGAATGATGCACTTATGAAGTGCGATCTACCTGTAAGTTTTTTGCATCGAGTTCGAAAGAAGATGCGTATCGTAGGGACAAAAAATCCCACGATCGCAAACATTTTGCACAATCAACGTTCGTTTTCGAAACGCAATGTGCTCACCTGTATTTGTATGGGTTCGCCTTACCCACGAAGGGAAGGCCATGTATGCTTTCGACTGTGCGATTTACCGGGTACGTCGCCGTTTTTGGCTAACGCCAATACGATACCTTGTGTGCGGAAGGATAAGAGAGAGATGGGTCTGTGTGAGGATTGCTCCAAGGTTTCCTCAGGTGGAAAAATCTTCGAGGCGATCCACCTTCTCTTGATCGCAATTGTGTTGGGAAATGCTTGATGGACGAGGACGCTGTACTGAATTTGGGTAAGTCTGTGTCGTTGACGGAAGTTGAACTGTTGAGTAGGTGTTTTGAGGATTTGGTATTAACACTGGTTGACCGGAACTCCGGCGAGATGGTAGTGATGTGCCCACAGTTGTACTACAATGCTATGTTGAAGATGTTTGTATTGAACCCGGGATACCGGATTGTGACGGAACGTGTATCATTTATCATCCGAGAGATTATAGAGGATGTGTCTGAGCATGGTTTGACGAAGTTCGCACGAGTGGATGCGGAAGGATGTTTTGGGAATGCATATGTCATCCCAAAACACAAGGACTTGAGCCATTTTCGGCCCATCTGCCCCTCATTCTCGGATCCATTGGTTAAGACGGGTAAGCTGGTTTCCAAAGCTCTGAATCATTTATTGTATACAGTCCCTCGTAACTGGCACTTTAACTTGCGATCTGTGTCTGACCTCGTGGTTACTTTGGAACGAGGGAATCGGAAGTTGGGACATCTAGGAAAGGACTACACCCCGACAATTTTCTCTTTCGATATTAAGGAAATGTTTACCAGGTTACCATACTCGGATATTGTCGATGCAATTAGCTGGCTGATTGATTGGCACAAGTCTAGGAATCGGACCATGATTTGAGTGAATACCCGAGGGAGAGCAACTAGTTTTGGTGTTACCACGGGGGAAGACCACTGGGCAAGGTTGGAATTGGAAGAGATTCAATCCTTCGTTAATGTGGATTTACGTAACACGTATTTTTTCGTCACAGGGGTTCTGCTGAAGCAAGAGGTGGGCATCCCTATGGGAAAAAGCACGAGCCCACCGCTTGCATGCATTCTGTGTGCCTACACAGAGTATCGATTGAGGGAAAATTTGGGGCGTCGGACTGATTACCTTTTCGCTACACGACTGATGGACGATGTCCTTCTCGCGTTGGCATGAAAGAAAGATGAGGACCGTGATTTTATGCTAAGAGCCTTCTGCAATTGCTACCCTAACGGATTCGTGCTAGAACGAACGGATAATGGCAAAGGGACTACTGAGTTTTTAGGTTGTAAGATCACAAGTCGACAGGGGATACCCTATGATGGGATGTGTGCAACTGTCTAAAAACGAGGATTGTATTTGGACAGATGCCGCGCTAGTCCAAAAAAAATGGTAAGTCTTACCTATCTTGGGGTTGTAAGCGGCAGAAGAGCGCTGTCATTAGAGGCTGTCTACATCACATTGATCGGAATACCTCAGTCCGATCGGAGATCCTCATGAGAGTATTGACTCTGCAAACGGAACTCAGTAAGCGAGATTTTCCCTCTGAATTTTCCGAGGGAGTACTTCGAAGATTCGTGGTAGGAAAAGGCAGCATCTGGGCAGCTACACTGCGACTGGTCTGCGCTTGATCT